AAAGGCAGAAAATTACTGCAAACTTTTTTGCTTTCTAGCCTATATGTTATGGATTTGTAGAATTACTCGTAGAATTGCCTTTATGTTGTGCTTAGTTGATGTTCCGAAAGTTTGTAAATGCAATGAGCAAAGAAACATCATAGAACTTGAACATTAAACAAGCTTGTTAACGATCTAACGTTCTTAGAATAGAAAAAGTTCTTGTCGATAAAATCATGTGTGAACCTAGGGACCACAAACATCTTCCGCGCAAAACTTGATATATGAACCTTATATGATTTGAGCAGAGTTAATTTCCATTATACTGGACTTACAGACAATCTCCCAAATTTTCAGAGTGCCACAGACACCGTTGTGACATCTTTTTCATTAAGAAAATCTAAGGCTCGTGATGAGGTTTGCATTTGTTGTTATATAGTAAATATTAGATCTTACCTTGATATAACCTATAATATGTTCTGCAGAGAGACGTTAAATCAAGGACGAAAACTTCAAGTAAATCGAGAAAGGCGCCGGGTTTCATCGGCTTAACGGTCCCACTAAGCACACCCTCTCTGAACCTTTTGGCCACTCCAAAGGGGATGGCCCCACCTGGCGGTGAGCATCAAGTACCAAACTATCGTTCCTCCCATTTTTCTTCTAAAGGCCTGTTTTAGCTCGAAAGGTAACGTACACACCCCGACGAGGGGCTCTTGGAGCCTTTGTGGACACTACGAAGCTATCTGATCGTGAATTTGAACTTGCTCTCGCCAATGGTTTAATAAAGGGCAGAAGCAGGTGGTACAGTGTATACTACTTGAATTGTCTTTGAGATAGATTATATTCTTGAGAAGATGAAGAGGTATTTATAGAGCATCTGCACCTATGGACAGTCGCAAATCGCGCCGAGAAGAAATTCTGGATCTTAAAAGAAAGCTTAAAATTTGACTACTTTTTTCTCGCATACATTGTATATATACATGCTTATTCCGCTTCCCAACTTACCAGGCGCCCAATTTTATACATGTGCTACTTACCCTAGCAAAGCATGAACACTGGTAACGGCAAACATAAAAGAGAAATGAGCTAGCATATTTCAAACTAAATAAAGGGCTATCCTACTAACACATCTCCGATTATAAACTAGTATAGATCATGTAATATACTGAAATAAACACATTTATCATACGCCTTCGTTTGTTTATGCATTTATGTTTACTGAGATGGGTAACGTAAGTCGCAATATGTTTTGTGTGCTTATAATTGCCACAATCCAAAGAAAAGCAGACACAGGACTGACCGACTTCAGTAGATGAGGTAGAATACAGAAGTATCCGGGCACTTTTCAATCGGAGCGGATTTTTCGGGTGCAGCTGCTTCACCAGGCTAATACTGATAACCAGCTAGTTGGCATGCTCCATTGTGGCAAACCACTAGCAT